CGGTAATTGGTCCGTATCGTCTTCTTGAGGTGCTCCAAGGGGACCCTAGCGAACTGGTGCTCCAGTCTGAGAGACTCGGAGACCTGGGCGAAGCGGGCGGTGGATGGCGGGGGCGCCGACGCGGCAGGGGCGGCAGGGGCCGTGGGGGCGGGAGGAACGACGGCGGATGCGGCGCCGGAGGAGGCATCGCCGTTGGGAGCAGAGTCGATCACCATGTCCACGTCCATGCCGCTGGCGAGAGGGGGGAATAGAGGAAGTGAAGAAGACAATGGATCGGAGGGCAGGACGAGGCCGTCGACGGCTTAATGGCGGTGGATAATGGCATCCACCGTCGAGGTTGGATCGTCGATCCGCAGCTGTTCGGCTTCTCTAGACTTGGGATCCCTACTTGCGTGAAAGAATAGGTCGGGATTTGTCGCAGAAATTACAATTCTGCCATCATGCCAAAACTCCAAATATTTGCCAAAATTGCATACAAACATAAATTTGGCTTGTAATGTTAAGCTTTTCTAAATTAAATAACTATTAAATGTGGTTAGAAAGTATTTTTTATCCTTATCCGTTCCTCCTATATCTTTTAATCATTAGGTCATTTTCTCGTGTTATTATTATTTGATTATAATATGAAAGTGTTGCTGCATTTATATATATTCTCAAATTTGATCAAGTTTGGTACAGCCCAACATTTGGTTGATTAATTGTTGGTTATGGAGTCCCAAAGAAATAGATTTACTGAAACAATTTGATTTCATTCCATGAACCCCAAAGAACAAGAAAATAAATGCACCTTATGGGGCAATTATAAAGATGTTTAAAACCATTGCTCTAAAGGCAGTAGTAGATGTTTTAACAGCATTTTAAAACTTGATATTCAACATCGACTTTGTTGATAAGATAAAAATAGATATTAGATTACATTGCGTTTATACATTACTAACACACAACTAGATCTTAGATCCCGGAGAGAACGCCCCACAACAGATCAATTCTTTAATCCCTTTGCACAAACACAGCACAGTTCCTCCTCGATCACCTTGTTATTAGTTGATTGACTCCTTGTCTTAAGCATGGCTCAGTCGAAACAGCAATCATATCTTCGACCCTTGATTCCGAACTGGAATTCGGGATCTTCCTTCTGAACTGTAGCTTTCATCCGTCCTAGCTTCCGAATTGGAAGCTATCCAATCTGAAACTTTAGTTGGCATGGTCAGCATCAAGATTGGAACAGAATCAAGAGAGCTAGTATCGAAAGATAGACAAGATGGTTGTGCTATGAATTATTATACAATGCTCGATTGTACTACGAACTATTATGCGATGTTTGAAAAGCGTTGCAAATTGTCGAGGGAAAAGCAACATTAGTGAGAAAGTCATTTAAACTTGCCTTGCTTGACAAATCACATGCGATCCTTATAAATTTGATGAGTCCCAGCTAGCATCGACCGCATTTATTATCTTCTCATGCAGCAAAGGTCCAGAGCAAGCAATAATGCCTCGATTCAGACCTTCAAGATATATGCCCTTGGAGAAGTCCAATGGATGCCCTCCAGCATCTGTGACCACTCCACCAGCCTCTTGAATGATCACCAACCCTGCAGCATGATCCCAGATCTTCTCCTTGTACCCAGCCCTTGCAAACTTCATAAAGATCTCTGCATCTCCTCGAGCTATGGCAGCATATTTTACCATACTATGCACTCGCAATGGCTGCTTTCTGCACATGGAGAAACAAAACCAAAAGTAACAATTCAAGGTGATTCAATGGGAAGTCTCTGAAACAAGGTTCGCAACTATTTTAGTTAAAATAGCTAAAAGGTCACTAACGATCGAAATCGACCATTACCGCCCGATACAATCCCGTGTCGCCCGATATTAAAAACTTTGGGCCAAAAATTTGGTACCACCCGGTAGCGGGCACGGTCCATGTGCCGCGAGGCTCTTGGACCGGTATGTACTGCCCATACTAGGTGGTACACATCGAAATTAAAAACAATGCTTTGAAAAAGGAGCAACACAAATGGCATTGAGTTTCTCGGAGGTGCTTGAAAAGTATATGTCCATCTCATTTATTTGAGTGGTAAGATTTCGTTAAAGAAAAATCAATTTGTGTGCAGTGGGTAAAAAGGAGGGCCACGTTGCAAAACCAAATGCATTGAGCTTAATTATCGATGCAGAAGAAACCAAGAACTGGTACTAGACCATATGTCTTGGTGCCAGTCATTTTTTTCAGCAATATCAGATGGTACATGTCAATGTACTGGTCAGTATATCGATGCCACAATGGTCCCATAATGAGTCAAAACTAGTGTTGGGCTGAGACTTCAAACCTTGTTAGAAACTATGGAATGTTAGCATGACTAAATTAAAAATATTTTCCAGAAATTACCTTAGGCCAACATTGTGAGCCAAACCAGCTGTAAAGGAGTGGCTTGAGTTGGCCTTCTCAACTGGTTCGCAGAAAGTTGCAAAAGCAGGATCAGAAATGGATGATACACGAATCATCCTTGCAGAACTCTGCTGGTCATACTCCCCAAAGTCATGAACCAGTGGTTGCATCCAAGCTTCACCACTACCTTTGCAAGCATACATTACACAGCCTTTATGCCAGGATCCAGACGGAGGAGACAACGTAGTCATCAGTCTATAGTAGCGTTGATGATAGTTGAGCCACTCCTTCTTCATCGGGTAGTTAGGACAACCAAGAACACCAAGGATAACTTCTCCGTCCTCTATCAATGCAAGAGCAACAGCATATTGGTCTCCACGTACAAAACCAAGTGTGCCATCCACAGGGTCAAGGACCCAAAATCTTCCCTTGGAACCTCCAGAAGAGTTACAGCTGTTAATAGCATCAAGAATGTCCTGAGCCCCCAAATGTTTTGGAGGGCATTTTAATCCATATTTCGGAGCTTCACTCAGGCATTCGTTTACAGTACTAATCACAGATTCCAGCAAGGTTGTGGCATCCTTTCTTGACAGTGTATGGGCATCTTCCTCTGCAAGAATTGATACATTTTCACCGCCAAAACATTCTGAAAGAAGCAAACTAACTACTGCTTGAACACCCCAATCTGCCATCAAAATGAAACCACAAAGTTAAAAATTAAGATAAATTGGTATATACCGGATAGGGAAATACTAAAATTAATTACAGTCAGCTGATACAATCCTTATCTCAAGACATTCCTGAGAAAATGACAAATCCAGACAGGTTGTCAGAATTAATTTTACAATTCAGGAAATTAAAGGAATAATTTCTAGAGTTGTGGTTACAATACCCATAACAAAGGATAGACAAGCTTATTTATCAACAATGGTCCTTGTTATAACAACAATGTCAAAGTGCTCCCCATTTGTAACCAAAAAATAAGAATTTCCCATTGAGCTAATTGCATGAAAAGAAGCAGCCCAGATTTCCCTGTTCTGCAGGAATGATCATACCGTGTAGACTCAATCCCTAAAAGATTCCTTGGAGAAGAAAAGTATTTATTAATTGGTTTTCTTGGAAAATTTTCAACCTCATGGAAGCTTCATATATGGTGGATCAGTCTCTTGCTGGTCCTTTTCTCTGCATGGAGTTTTTGTGAAAACTTAGGTTTTTCTGGTTATGGCGAACCTTGGATGAGGAGCGCCCCTTGAATGGGGTCGACCATACCTCAAACCAGTCAATCCTATCAATTCTATGAGGTCGATCTTCATACAATTTCAGAAGATTTATGTGGTTTCAAGTTTCAAGATGACATGACTAGTACACAACTTCACGCCCCTCTTCCATCACAACCCTCTAGTCAGTATTGAAGAAGAACAACAAAAGCCTCTTAGTTATCTTGGTTCCTTCACCAAAACTTCTTGCCCAACACCATTCTCGAGACATTTTTGATGTCAATGCAGGAGCTTCAAATACTTCCGCTCATTTTAGTTGCTACAAGTTAAAGGTCCTAAATTTGATTCTTAAAAAGCAACGAAGCACCTCCGACAAATAGCAAGCAAAATGCACTACTTTTTCCATTCAGTGGCTTTACTGTTCCATTTATTAGAACTGAGGCAGTACCCCAATCCTTAAATACGGATTACTACAAAGATGACCTGTTAAACTGATAACAAACACAGTTTCCATCTACGAGCAAGGAATTGCCATCGCAGTACCGTAAACAAGAACACAAGAACATCAAAAAGAGCCAAACTTTTCACCCCCTGGTCGACAATCTACCAAGAAACTCATCAAGAAGACTAATTGGGTCACATATTCCCAATTTCAAGAAACCAGCACATCGACACAATAACGCGTGTGAACCTGAGAAATCGCAGAGGAAGGGAACAAGGGCAGCGTTACGGACCTGCAACGGTGACCGGGGAATCGTCCTCCTTAACCTTGATCTGCTCCCTATTCCGACCCACCAGCCCGCTCTGCACCCTCTGGCACAAGGAGCACGCCATCTGGACCACCCTCACCGCCACATCGAGCTCCCTCGCGCGCGCGCCTTCTTCCATTCCGCGCGACCCGACAAGGGAGGGGTGTGTGTGTGTGTGTGTGTCTCTGTGTGTGGGGAGGAGACGTTTCCACCTACAGGCCGAGACCTCGGTCGGCGCCGCTGCCTACGGTCCTTGGATCTCCAAGGGGATGGCGTGGGCGGCATCAATGGGGCAAAACCTAGCCATCTCTCGTGAGTCTCGCGCGCTGTCCTTCCTTGCTTCGCGGAGGAAGCATGAGATGCGCTCCTCACATGGACGGTGAACGCTTCGACCTCTGCGTTATATTTGGCAGCGTGGAGTACGTACCGAAACCGTTCGCACCCCCCCTGCGGGGTCCATCGTCGTCCCCACCATGTCTTTCTTTCTATTTAATGCTTGCCAAAATTATATATAATAAATACTCAGTTAATGATTTTTCACACATATATATATCTGCAATTATATTTTATTATATATATATATATATATATATATATGGGATTTTGGGATGCTGAAGGTGTCAGAAAAGGTTGACTATTTACTGAGAGAGAATTAGGCAATTGAATCTCTCAATTTTATTTCTGCTCCAATTATATGCAATATAATTTTCTGAGAGAAAAGGAAAGACATTGGAAAACTAGAAAGAACTACTTATTTCATCCCATGGTAAGCTGGTAGTATAAACTTCTAAAAGGGTGATGGTATTGCTTGATTGTGCTCCCCGAATACCCTGTTCAGAGTCATGGCCAACCTGACTCCTCCTTGTGCAATCCTCTTGGCCACAATGGGCATCGTTGAATCGAAGTAGTCATCTGTGAACAGTACCAAACACTGATACCTCACCTTTCCATTTCTCCGAAGTAGATGGATGTAAAACATAAGAGGCTATATTTTCTTCCTTGCTTGTTAGATTGAAGCTTGCGTGCAGAGAGGAACCACTCACCTTAAAGGTTTCGTGAAGATATTCTTGGAAAGCAGCCATGTCCTTTCCATCCAGAGCCTTGAGGAGTATCTCTCTGTCCCATACCTAATCCATTCATGCCAAACAAAACACAAGGCATTGATCATATCTGCCATGATGTGGCTGTGAGCTTGTGCACTGTCTAATCAGCTAGATTCTTCCACGATGCAGGCTAGTCTTGTGCTTGAACCAGCGCACTTGTATGTAGTTGCCGCCCTTATCGCTGGTGAGTCCTACGTGCATGGGCTGCATGAAGAATCAAATATAAGTCAGCAGTCATGGAGGAGTAAGTGAATCAGATTCCAACAGGGAGTGCATGGAGCTTTCATGGAGGTCTCCCATGAAATGGGACAAGAACAACAAAGCTTCAGTCATGTTGTCTGCAGACAACTAACTACATTAGACAGGATTCTAATCCACAGAACCAAAAAGAAACAGCGGCTTCCTTACATTCAGGATATTCTGTCCTTTCATGGTAGTGCAGCAGCTGCAAGATAAACTTTTTGACGGCACCGACAACGCACTCATCTTTTTTGCAGTCCCCTGTAGACAAGTGAAACAAAGATGAGAGTTCTCTGCTGCCCTCTCACTGATAGGCCGAAGGCTAGGATCTTACTCGAGTACTCGAAGGTGCAGGCTTGATCAGGTGTGTTGACGAAGTGGAGGGAGTTCATCGACTGGTAGTTGGGCCAGCGCCGAACCTCGTCAGGCCACGAGCAGAGTGCCGAGAGGTCACCATTGGCGTAGTTCGGCAGAAGGCTTTTGACGGCTTCCGCTGCCTCCGGTTGGAACAGTTCCTGTCAAAAGATGCGCTTGAAAGGAGTTACCCAAAGGCTATTATGACCAATCCTACAATTCACTGTTTGAAGTGGCTCTATCTTTCAGAAACCAGAAATCTACAGCAGTATCAAGAGTTTACCTGAGCAATTCTGCAGGTCAGTATATGGCCCTCCTTGCTCCATGATTGAGCTACTGGCACTGCATAAAGTACTATCGAAAACATCACAGCTTGAAAGAACAAGAACCTCCCCATTGAATTCACTTCTTGCTGAAACCAGAGGGAAGCGTTTCAGATCAATAACCACAAGCATTGTTAAAGGCAGGGAATGACACCATATTCCCAGGTGTCCTTTGAGTGCAAGCTTCATGTTTCCATTCCCAGACTCTTGCCTAACTCTGCCCAGAAGCCTCAAGTTTGACATGAAAAATATAGTTTCTAGTGGAAGCAATTTATAGTGAACACCACTATGAGAAGGCATCTTACAGAACTTTTATTGAAATGGATACCATATCAGTACAGATGAATAAATCAGGTTACATTTTACAACAACTTACAGAACTTTTATTGAAATGGATACCACATCAGTACAGATGAATAAAGCAAGTTATATTTTACAACAAGTTAATCGATAAAGAAAGTAATTGGTTCAGCATTAATTTCCTTAAAAGAGGAATATAATAAGAGATGAAGAGGGTAGTAGTTGTGAGTACATGCAAAGCATGAGGTAAAGGTGACATGATCGGAATAGGTAGCCTAGGTGGCAAGTTTGGCCGAGGATGGCTATCGATTTCAGCAAGATACAATGGCCAATTTGTGCTCTAGATGGTCCCAGTTCATAGCCTCCGTGAACCACCATATAAAATTAATGCACCAGAGCTTTCTTTAAATTATACGCCTTTCATAATCCACCCATCTATCAGCTATCACTTCTCAGACGAGAGGGTTGAACAGGAACGAAGATGCGGTTGAGGACTGCAGCTAAACGGACCCCACCTTGGGCTAGTCTTTTCTCCACAATCGGCAGACGTGTGAGGAAGTATTCATCTGCATGGATCTATATAAATATGAACAGAAGCATGGAAATAGACATTAGTGTAAATGTAAACATCACATAAATGTTTATTCATTGTCATGTAAAATGATAAACATTAAACTGAAGTTCCAGTCTATTCAGGAAAGGAATAAAATATGGTGGTGTGTTAATCATATCTGCAGCTCATCAGGAGTTAAACAAACAACGATTGATCTCAAAATATTACTAAATCAAAATCATCAGGCTTACAGTGAACAAGCATATGAGCTGCCAGATACAATGTTAATGAGCCTCCTACTGAACGGGGTGTAGTTCCAAATAGAGAGTGCGACCCTTTTTTTATGAGGATTTACAAGTAGATGTTTGATAAAAAAATATTGATCAACCTTTGCAAGTGACATGGACTAGCTGTTGAACTTATAATATATATACATATATGTACAAGTAGCACAACCTTGATATCTCTATGCATTTGATGCACAAGATTATGTACCAAGCCATCCTAGTCCATGTCACTTGCAAAGGTGTCAGCTAGGGTTAGCTAGGGATAATACATCCCCAAACCTGAACCTTGAAAACTTAACAATCTTTTACGAAATAAGCAAGTGTCTCAGCTAGGGTTAGAAGATTGTGATCTCAGAGATTTTTCTCTATCATAACTTGTCTTCTCAGAAGCACTCCTTCCTAAAAAGGCATTGATAATATTTTGTCTTTTGCATCAAAAGAAAAACACATTAAATGACACACAGAAGTTCCGTTGGTTATGGATGAAAGATCTTAGCAAAGAAAACAATCTTCTGAATTATACTGCAAGATAAAGCCATTTGGATAAACTCAAGATCCTGATTGCAACTTCATAAGAGTCTTTTCGAATTACCTCCTAGAGTGCTTCCTGGTGTTGCATTCCGGTAAGCAAATTTGCATGCTAGGCGGATGCTCTCTGAAGCATGCCTGAAAATTGTAAATACAACTAGAAAAAATAAGCATATGATTTACCATAGCTCCTGTTCCTATTGGAAAAGTTGCAATCACTATAGACCAATATATTTAATCATACAATCAGCGCAATGAACAAGGACAGGTTCAACAGAATGCTTAACTCAAGAAGCAAGTTCTTAATGCAGTGAAAAATAAAAATGAAAATGAAAATCATGCACCAAAAAGTAAGTTTCCATTGCAACAGGACTATAGGTATATGCTTACAAGTTTGGACAAACAGTCTGATTTGATTCACACACTTCCCATGATGGAATGTCAGCCGACCAGTCTTCCTGAAGATGATGGGGCATACCAAGTACATGAACAAAATATTAAAAAGTTGAATCAGTTTATGCTATTAGATTACATACGTGAGTCATAATTTTACAATTATAAATGTGAGATTATCTAGTTGAGAACTTAATTGTACAATAATTCATAAAATCAGTGAAACATGACAACCTCCATATGCATAAGTAGTTTGTTCCAGAAAACAAATTTAAAATTACACAAGAGAGATTGGGTGCTTAAAAACAAAATGAAATCCCTTTTTCAGATATAAATACATTTTGAGAATGTTCATAAGAATGCTCAAGAAGGATTTTCTGTAACACTCCAAGGATTGATAATAGTAGAATTTCCTATTCAAGAGAATCAGATGACACTAGTTATTCTATAGGCATCTCAAAATCAAGTTATGATGCAGTATCTGACCTTTCACTTTCAAAATATAATGACAAATATGAGTAACCTACCAAAATATTTGTTCGAAGGGTCTCCACCAACACTGCAAGGTTCAAATTGTAGAACTTCTTCAGGGCAGACTCGATGATCATATTATCCCACACCTGGAAGATAGGTAGCCTCTTATTTCTGAAAATGATGAAAGGAAATGTTGCCAACAAAGAAGACATATTTGGTGTATCTTAGAGAATGTAAGAACACCTACAAACATATTCAATCAAGCATGGGAATTTTGCTTGACACTGGCAGTGAGATCAATTTTTTAAATAAGAAATTTTTCATTTTTTACCTGATGTAACTTGAGTTTCATGACATGATTAGCAGAAATACATGCCTACAGTTCAGAACATATGCAAGGGAACAGCCACATCGCTGCTCAAGTAGAAATAAAATATTTACACATAAACTACAAAATAGTTCTGCAGACTTACATGGTGTAAATTGGTTTTCCGCCTGTACCAGCGAACTGTTATGGTGTTCCCACCTGCATCTCCAGTGAAGCCAACATGCAATGGCTACAAGAAAAGCCAAAATGCACAACAAAACAGTATTCTCCATAATTTTTCTTACTTAATAAATGATACTTCCAAATAAATTACATCTAACTTAAAAAAAAGAAACACAAAGATTTAGATGAGAGCTATTTAGACCATTACATTAATTTAACTTTAGGTAATAAATAGCTTGTTTATTTTAAGATCATGCCTTAAGCAAATTGCTCTAGGAGCTGTGCCAATCCTATCATCAAGTTGGTGGGATGCAGTTATAGTACTTCTGAATAATAATTAAAGATTAAACTGCCCATAATATTATACAGGAATAAACCTATCCATATGTATAAGTTGTGATGTGCTTTGAGTTCTCAAATCTGGAGGTTGTGAAAAAGAGAACACCATGTACTCAAGATTGAGAAGACAAAAGCTTGAGGGACAGGAAACGCAACTAAGAAATGGTATATTTGGGGTACCATGTTGAGCCTGGATCAAATTTCCTTTAAAATATATGCTCAATGCATGATTGTAATCTCTTTATAGTCATTGATTCTACAGGGCAGAATTTGTAATGAATCAACTTTGCAGAAAATTTGTTGCCTATTAAAATTAGATGTGATTTACTGCAACTTCTGCATTTGTATTCAGTTCAATGGCTTTAATGTACCAGTCAACTTGATGAAAAGAAATAATTAGTCATTTCTTATTATATAGATTTGAAACAAAACATTTTGGAAACAATTACTACAAGCTACACTTACCGCACAAGCTTAATAAACATCAAAAGGTTTTATCCTCTTTTCGAAGGTTGTTGCATATGTTATGCATAAAAATTCTACTCCCAGAACTGGTCTACTGATGAAAAATCCAAAAAAAGTATCAAATCTGGTACTACGCTTTTCTCTTTTGAAATTATAGTGGAACTGTGTATATTAAATGCAACGTATTGCTTTCTGCTTATGCAAGGATTAGTACTAAATGTCATGACACTTTGATTAATCAAATTCATTTGAAGATCCAAATTTGAACGTGTTATCAGGATTCAGGCCTATGGAAGAGAGCAGACCTGATGAATGTCCCCAATAAAATGTGATAAGAATAAAAGAGCCTCCGTTAAATTGTCTGCAATGAGCAACAGAAGTTTTCTATCTTATTCATACCACCGGACCATGTTTAGTGAGAACAGAATGCAACTTGTCACTAGAAATTTGCCTCACATTTCTGTTCCGAAGCGGGAAGCCCATAATATGACAGCTGTGTGGAATAGTTGTAGATTGCCCCAGCAGCACATCTATCTTTCCTTCCGGCAAAATCATGGCAGTCTCCTGCAACAAAGTGATTTATTCAGACTGTTATGTGTGTAGAAATTCAACTTAAGGTGATCACAAATATTCTAGTTGATGCATAAACATTATGGTCCAGAACTTGCAGTTACTAGACAATCAGTATATGATGTTCCCATTGTAAACTTAACTCCCAAGGAAAGTAATCTTATAAATTACAAACATCAGGATGCTTACGACAGTAGTCATAGTTGCACTTGAAATCAGGAGTATCGATATAGTGCAAGGGGCCAGTCCACCGCCACCTGGGATTGTGGCGGATTTCATCCGCCCAAGAGCAAAGAGAAGCCAAATCACCATTGGCATAGTCCGGAAGCAACATCTTCACAGTTGTAATAGCTTCTTGAGTTAGAAGACCCTGTAAACCAAATTAATGCACTTTTGGCAAAGTCAGTCCCATGTTAGATAATGTTTCCTGGTTCACCGAAACAGATTGTCCTAGTCACTTGGAATACCTCTGCAATTTTACAGGTGGCATAATGCCCTTCCTTTCCCCAAGATAGAACTCCAGGAAGAAATTGCAGAAGAATCAACAACCTCCGAATCAAGGGTGCATTTGACTTAAACATCCCTGTTAACCAAAATACAAAATCATCGACAACAAACATCCCAAAAAGGAAAAATCAACATGATTTTGATAAAATGAAGCAACTCCTCAATTGTCAAATGAAGTTAACACCAAACAAGCATCCTTACAGGCAAACTTACATATACGAGTAATTACGTAGAAAAAAAGAGAATTTTTAGGCCAAGGGGCATCAAGACACCCTATAATCTCTCCAAATACTTATGAATCTTATGCAAATTCAGCACTTCAATCGAGCATAATTATAACTACCCATCATGAAATTAAGATGTGTCCTAAAATCTAGGGTTCGTTCGCTTCAAACTTCGACAAGTATCTTTCACGTTATAAATTGGAAAATTCAGAAAGAAATCGAACTACCATCTGTAATCAGATTGCACTCAAGTAACCAGAGAAGAAATCGTGAAAGAAATTCTTCCATAAAAGATTGTGCGATCAAGCACTCTTCGATTTTAAGCAACGATCCCTTGAAAATTAAACCTTTTACTGTACCAGAAGACGCTTGCATTTCTTTCAGAGGCAGGCGCAGCATCGAAGCCGTGCGAAGGAGACACGGAGTGCCAACGGCGGCGACGTACAAGCGGACGACGTCGCCGGCGAGACGGTGAAGGCGTTACATAGTTCTCGTTTATAGGAGTCCCAAACCCGGTATGTGCCTTTCATTCGATTCATGCCGGTATAAATATTCGCAATCGTTATTTAGTTCAAACCGGTATAATCGTATATAGACGTAATAAATTTAAAATCCATATTTAAAGAATCCTAAGTAATGAGAATTTTAGGTGCCATTATCCTAACAAAAAATAAAATTGCTTCATGTTTTTTTTCTTAACTTGTATTAACTTGATAAACATCATGCAATCAAAAATCAAATGGCTCACCAAATAGAGAATAATTAATTATTCATGAATTGGATGGGAAGATAATTTTGTTTATTAGATGTCTAATTTTGCTAGGATGGTTTATTATATTTTTTTACAATTATTAATGCTAAAAAATTTAGTAAAATTAAAATTTTATAAGTCAATTTTAGTGGGACTAATAGGGATCTTATAATCACTCTTACTTAAGAGCTTTACAGAGGGTTTAATTTAAAATTAATAATTATTCGTTCATTAGTCTTTGTCCACTTATAATATAAGACTAATATAATTAAAAAATCGAAATATCTTTGTAAGTTTAAAATAACTTAATAGGTACTAATATAATTAAAAAAAATATTTCGTGCCTTTTTCACTTGCACTTAAATTATGCATGTAGATGAATTAATGCTTATGATAGCAAAAAAGAAGGAGTTCAAGAGACAGCTTAGATTAGTTACTAAATTAATTTTTCTATGAAATATTTATAAGAATATTCTTGAAAATCTAAGGAGTAGCTTGAGTTGATTATAATTGTCTACGTTATAGAATCTTTATGGGATATTTTATCTATAAAAATGTATTCCTCAATTTTGGATTAGAGGGAAGTAAAAAAGAGAAATAAAACTTAAAACTAATTTAAATGTCGAAATGATCAATGGAAGTTCCTCCGAACCCCAATCTTTATGAAGGTAATGATTTAGGAGAAGTCACCCTTTATTTTGAACAACTATGCGTATACAAGTTAGGGTCACGTTATACTATTTTCTATAACACTATTAAATATAACATAATTATTTTTTTGTTTCTTTAAACTATATTTGATACTTAGAATTAGTAGCTAATAGAATAAATAGAGACTATATTAGATGTTCCAAGCATATCAACGATGTAATACCATGTAGATTTTTCCCTGAATTTGTTCAATTGTTATTATATATAATTTACTTATTAAACTAAAAACAAAATGGCCTATTAGCTCAGTTGGTTAGAGCGTCGTGCTAATAACGCGAAGGTCGCAGGTTCGAGACCTGTATGGGCCAATAAAAAGTAATTTTTATGGGTTTACTTATGATAGGCTTAAGTTAGACTTACCTCCTCATCGGCCTGCTTTGGGCTCATAATGGGCCTGCTTTAATTTTATGGGTTCATTTATGAGAGGCTTACCTTCTCATCGGCCTGATTTGGGCTGATAATGGGCCTGCTTTAATTTATCGGCTTATGCCTAACCTGACTTATATGAATTGACATGTGGTTTGGTTTAACTGGAATTATTGTGATTATAAACTAACATGAGCCCTATGATTAGCAATCATAAGGCCTTTCTTTCACCTCACCTTTGTAAACTGACTGATATCAGGTGCTACATTGACTTTTTGATTTTTATTCTTGCAACTATTTTGATCAGTGACCAAACACAAAGTGTTTTGGATAATTTGCTTTCAGTGGAAAATGATTTATAGTGGAAGATCTGATGTTGAAATTGGGCAGTCTTTTAATATACCAATAATTAGCCTTGATATCGGTTCACAACTTGTGATTTCAGTTCTAATTTTTAGGAACCGAAATTGAACAGCACAGGATAGGTTCCAATCATTGATTCTTTATATATATATATATATATATATATATATATATATATATATATATATATATATATATATATATGTATTTATATATACTGTTGAATCTCGTATTTTGATGATGAAACTACTTGATATATGTTTATGATTTAATCTGCATTTTGAGTGACGCAGGATGCTTCGATCAGGATGAGACAATTAAAGCAGGAACATCATGTTGTGCCGGAGGAACATGTCAGAAGATTGGACGTCGGGCCGGTGGATCGGTCGACGTATCGACAGAAGGCTTCGGGCAGTGGACTCGGGCATCGGGCCAAGAAGAGCGGTTATTGTGCCAAGGATATCGGAGTTGCGGAGTCAACTGACCAATTGGGCAATA